CGCCGAACTAGAGCCTGATTCTTGGAAGCTTAAGGCGCGTATCGTCTTTCGTGGAGACGATATACGTGACCAGACTGGAATGTCTGCTGTGTTCGAAGAACTCTTCGCGTCTGCCCCTTCTTCGCTTGAGGGACTGAACACGGTCATTGGATTCGGTCTTCTCGAATCTCATGGTGTGACAACTAGCGACGCCATTAAGGCGTATACACAAGCAGCCTTGAAGAGCAAAAACCGAACTTTCGTCCTCTTGCCACCAGAACTCGTCCCAGCTTCTAAGAGAGACGTAATTCAGCCCTGTGCACCGCTCTACAAGGCCTTGTATGGACACCCTGAGTCATCAGCGCATTGGCAAAGGCATTTGCATGGCATTCTCACTGGTCTTGGTGGAATTGAATTCCCCAACCTTCCTTCTGTGTATTATTTTCCAACATTGGATCTGATCTTGTGCGTATATGTTGACGACCTCACATTGAGCGGGAAGTTGTCGAAGCATAAAGGTTTCTGGAGTTCCTTGTCGAAACAAGTTGACCTCGAGCCTTATGCTCCTCTCACCAGAGTGCTTGGTCGCAGTCATCGCCACGTCTTGTATGACAATCAACCAGCCCTTGCGTTGGAAACTGAAGACTTCGCCAAACAGTGTGTTGACTTGTATGAATCCTTGGTTGGTTCCGCTGTTAAGCACCAGAGGACCCCGCATGTTGACCCAGGAGCTCTATCACTAAGTGATAATGATGCTCGGGGTTCTCTTGCTGACAGCGCCGCTCGCATCCTGATGAAGATTCTGTGGCTTGCACGTTTGAATCGCCCAGATCTTATGGTGGCCGTCACTACCCTCACGACCAATGTCTGTCGTTGGTCAGTGAACGATGATAAAAGGGTTGCCAGGTTGGTGGGTTACATTGCTGCGACGGTTCAATACAACCCTGTGATGTTTGTCCACGACCCAGCTTCATCTTTGCACCTTGCCCTGTATGTGGATTCAGATTTCGGCGGCTGTCCTGACACCGCGCGTTCCACAAGTGGGTATATCGTTGCCCTTGAAGGAAGCAACTCATTTGCTCTTTTGTCATGGTCCAGCAAGAGACAGAAAGTGGTCTCAAGGAGCTCTACCGAAGCAGAATTCGTGTCCTTGAGCAGTGCGCTGTTCAATGATGCCTTGCCATTACTTGAAGTTTGGCAAACCATAATCCCTGGCATTAAGCTCTTGTGTCGTGAAGATAATGAGGCTTGCATTGCCATTGTCCGTAAAGGATATTCAGCTAAGCTGAGGCATTTGTCCAAAACTCATCGCATCAACGTTTCATCTACGTGCGAAGCTGTGAACGACAACGATGATGTTGAACTGGGCTACGTCAACACTAATGACCAGAAAGGTGATCCTTTGACGAAGGCTCTTTCGGTCCAGAAGTGGGCTCATGCACTGAAGTTGCTCCACATCTCCACTGAGCATCTGCCAGATGTTCCCATCTAAGCATGCACTTCCCTGTCACCTGAAGTCTTTTGAGAATTCCTTGGGTGATATGTTTGTGACGGTTGTCAAGCTGCTCCTGCGCTACCTCCATCATCGTGCTTTTGCAGACACTTGGATATGAGCCATCATCCCTGTGTCATCTGAATGAGTTCTTGAGGATCTCATCCTGCACTTCTTGCCTGCCCTCAGCCTTGCACTGCGTTGTGTCAGTGTCCGGCTGCTCCCAAGCGCCGCTCTGACTTCGCCTGAGCACAGTCCTGCACCGGTTGAGAGTAGTTTTGTATAGATTGCAGGTAGAATTACCTTAAAGGTTCATTGAGTCTGTGTTTCAGCCTGATCACCTGAGATACCGGATTCAACTGCGCATGGCTGAGCCCGCGCCACAATCGACAGTAGGTTTAGCTGCTGAGCTGAGCTTGCAGCTGCAGTCTTCCTAAAGTCCGTAATCGAGCTGTAATGAGCTTGGCGACTGAAAGTTCTGCAAACATGAAGGGGGGAGTTGAAGAATCACGAGCTTCCTTCCTCTATTGTAAAGCATGTATAGTCATGTTGTGCAGACTAGGATGACTTACCTTCTGACCATTTTTGGCTCAAGTAAAAAGGCCGCATGAGGTGCGGCTTGCACGCAGGGTTGAGGGCTTTGAGGGTCCCTGAACCTTTCTTTTGGTTGTGCCTGGTCCTTCCCCTTTCAGGCTTAGGCCAGGTTCTAACCTGTTCAACTACAGATGAGTGATCAGCTCATCCTTCCCACTCTATGGCATAGCTTCGTTGCATGGAGTAGCCATAGAGCGCTCCATGCCCCTGCTGCATAGTGCAAGCGAAAGCCAAATTCGACATGCTGGGAGTGACCCCATTCACCTATGAACTATGGTGTTCCACACACACAGAGCCCCATAAGGGGCGACTGACGCCTGGCAAGTGGCCAGTCACTGCTGAGGCAAGCGTGTTCAGCAACCTATGTATACCAACATGGCGGCTCGGCCTCAGCTGCATCGCAGAGCGGATAAAACATGCATGGTGTGACCCCAGTCGCCAAAACGCTAAAGTGTCTCATTCACACACACAGCTGTATGAGTGTCGGCTGGAGCCTGGCATGTAATCATTGTTGAGACAAACTCGGCTGAGGCAAATGCGTCTAGCGAGCAATGCACAAGCACATGGCAGCTCGGCAGAGCTGAGCAAAACACAGTGCAAGCAAGGCAATGTTGCTTTTTCAGAGGATTGAATGAAGCCTGTATCCGGCGGCTTGATATCTGTGTTGTATGGCAGCCACGGCAGCATCGGCATTGTGGACGGTACGCAAACACGTCTTGCCAGCAGGATGCGTGCTTGTGCGCTGCTTCGAAGCACGGAGCTCGTTGTTGCAGACTGCGGATGCATGATGTCTGCCTTTTGCAGCTTGTCGTCGTACGTCAAGGTGGCTGTGCTGGTGTGTATGGCAAAACCAAAAGATGTTGGCTGGCTCCGTGTCAAGTTTGACAGGAGGTTGGTAGAAATCTGGGTCGATGAACTCCCTGAATGGTGGGAGCGAAATGTACTGCCGTGGAATGAGCAGCACCCTGTTGTCTACATATCTAGTGGCAAAGAAGCTTGCCTGCTGCTGGCTTGTTGGCTGATGATGTTTGTGGTTCACAAACATGCTGCGAAGCGACTTGACCCAGCATTGCTCCACAACTGCCACAACCATGTTGCAAAGTGCAGGGCTGTGAAAAGCAGAGTCGCAAGCACTCGCTTTCTTTTTCCTTGAGCCAAAGCGAGCGCGGTCTCAGCTATTGGACTTCAAACTGTGTGAAACACATGAACCACTTTCCCAAACTGTCACTGCTCAGCTTCTGCAAGAACAAAACACAAACGAACGATACGAGACGTGACGAAACGCAAGTGCAGTCACTCTCGTCCACAAAACTCACAAGTGCAGACACTCAAACAAAACTCCCTGCCTGCATGTGCCAGACAGCTACCTGTACATCAGAACAACAAAGAAACATGGATGTTCTTTTTTTGTTTGGTCGGGAGGCGACACGCGCTGCCTTTGGCTGGTGAAAACGGGTGAGTATCTAGAGAGAAACCCACCTACACTACAGTCAGCTGGTTTTGCCTCTCTATGCCTCTGACACCAGAGGGTATGCCAGATCATCAAAAGTTCAGGATAACAAAAGGGTGGAATTTAAAATTCTCGACTTCTTCTTCCATTTCTCTTTAGCCCCCTCTCAACTCCCCTTTAAGCCCCCTTTCCCGGGATATTTGGCCATTTGTACCTTCCCTTTTCGCTACTGTGCGCCTGGTGCCTCACTGTGTCGGTCGTAATTCCATACATCATGGACATGGCAATGTTCACATGCCAATGTTCCCTGTCAGTGCTTCACGCAATGGACAATGTGCATGCAGGAAGTCAAGGTTAATTCTGACATTCCAGCCCCCCTTAAGCCCCTTTTAAACTCCCCTAAAGCCCCTTTGCTTGGAGCATCAGTACAGATTTTGGATGCCAGAGGAAATCTTTTCCTTAAGCAGTGTACTGTGGCAGAAATTGTGTGGCAAAGTACAAATTGCACATGTCACAAAGCATTGCAGAGCAGAGGCAGAGAGAATTTTGTTAACCCTCAACCACCTACACACGCTAGGCATGGGCGGACTATTTTGGCTGCAGAAATTTCAGTGTCTGGTGAGGGGCACCTGCCCCTCCCAGGGTCAGCACAGTCTCTGCCCTTTTTGCCCCTCCGGCCACATGGGGCCAAATAGCACGGTTGCACGCGGCGTACATTCAATCTGGCCATCTGGCCAGAAGAAATATAGCCTTCTGCTCATAGGGGCGGGCGGGCGGGCCTGAAATCACAGCAAATGACTCAGGCACCAGCAGGCCTGCTGCACCAAGCTTGCAGAACTGGAGCAAACACTGCAAGCGCAAGGATGCAGGATGCGCAGATAGCCACGCATGTGAGGCGCTTAAGGGTTTGCCGTGCGCGTCGGCCATTAGCCCCGCCTACCCCGACGCAAACGCCCCAACCCTCAACCACCTAATGTTGACTTCACATTAGGAATTCCCGCCGCAATTATAAAATCCAGCTGCCAGAACACAATAATGTAGCCCGCCACAATTATAAAATCCAGCCCGGAATATTCTTCTAAAAGTGATCCCCCAGAAGCTCGCAGTAGAGGCTCACTTAGCCCACCGTGGTGGCACCGGGACAGCTAGACCTACCAGGATTTAGGCGGATATTATTGAGGAGGCCCTGGCCGGAGAGATTGATCAATGAAGGGGGGGGGGGGGATTTATTAATGCGAAGTCAACATTACACACGCTAGGCATGGGCGGACTATTTTGGCTGCAGAAATTTCAGTGTCTGGTGAGGGGCACCTGCCCCTCCCAGGGTCAGCACAGTCTCTGCCCAAAGCAAAGCCGCAGCCCCGCCCATGCCGCCCTGAAACATAGCCCCCCAAACAACGCGCGGATGGGCTTCAGGGATAACGCGCCTGAACTCACGCGTGGGCTCTGCACCCCAGCAGACACTATAGGCGCTTGGGCCCCAGCTCACAAGCCACGGGGCATGACCGGGCATCGGCCCAGCTCCAAAAGCCGCCTCCAATCGGGGCGCACCCTGCGGCGCTCATCCAGCATGTCCCAAAATTCAGCGTCGACCGCATAGCCACGCGACAAGGCGTCCGCCCACTTATTCCGCACTCCGGCGACATGTGTAATACGCAGATCCAAGCCGTGCTCAGCACAAAATAGCCCTGCCGATTGCAGCACGGACGCGAGAGGCTCCTTGAGGGACATTCCTTTTGCAGAGGCCCCAACGACGCCCATATTATCGCATTCTTGTCGCATCGCCAGCCAGCCAATGTCGCCTGTTCGGGGCAAAGACAAGCACCGACACTCCAAGAGGACAAGCTGGGCCAGAGCTTCAAACGCAGCAATTAGTGGCTGCAAGTTGCGGTCTCCCTTCTCCAATGGCTTGAGGAACCATGCTGGCAGGTCACGCAGCCGAAGAGATATGGCAAAATAACGGATATTGCGTGGATGAATGTGCTCGCCCGGCTCAATCCACCACCCGCCTAATCCAGCCTGGTCACCCTCAGCGAACGCATCCGCTGCTGCCGCGCCCGAAATTCCGGCAGTAGTGGCTAGTTGGACTGGCACATTGGCCTTCACCACATCGAGGAAGAACGAAGCTACACGGGCCTCATCCGAGCTCAACACCACCGTCCCCGAATCCGAGGCCTCAGAGAACTTAACCCACACTCTGCCAATACGCAATCTGGCCGTTAGGAGATCTCGACTGCAATCCACCGCTCGATTGAATCGATTGGATGCTTCAAGCACACGCCAGCCTGGACATCAGATGTGGCACACGGCCAGGACACAAGCATGGTGTCATCTAGCGTGCCAGCCACCTCCTCGATCTGCTCACGGTCAAGGCACTGCAGGCGCAACTTGGGCTTTGCTAGCGCGTGGAACCACATAGCCAGCCAGGGCCGCAACCAGCGGAGCCCCGCTGTGAACCAGCAAAGACGGCCCACAAGCTTGCGAAGGTCTCGGCGAGTGACACTGGCGCCAGGTGAACGCAGCGGCTGCAACACGGCTAGCAGCACAGCACGCTTATCCAAAGGTAGCGTAGCCGCTGGCCGCCTCCCCAGGCAGATATCCCAGCCGATCCACCGCAGCGAGTCTGCCAGCTGCAACTTTCTCCAGGAGATTGGAACTCCCATGGACGTCGCCAGCATGATGCACAGACAAGCCAAGAACGGCGCTCGATGTCGAGGAAACAACGCCAAGAGGTCATCAACATATATAACCAAAAAATGACTGTCATGAAGAAGAACATGTGCGCAGCGCACAAAAGCGCCAGCCGCACGGGCCCACCAATAGCCCACCCAGGAAGCCCCAAAATGCGCCGTGTTATCCACGAACCAGTGCTTGCGGCCCTGCTTGTCAACTGCCACAAAAATTGAGAACCCTCGTTCGGCCGGATCGATCCTGATCCGCTTATGAGCCTTGGCCACATCCAACGAGAAGGCCGTCCAGGCCCGAGACAGGAACTCGGACACGTCAAAGAGTGAGGGCAGCTCGACTTTCTCCAGAATACGGCACAGCAGGTTCGCATTGGAGACAGAACTGTCGCCAACAAGTCGCGGATCCGAACTCCTTTTTCACAACGCCCAACTTGCCTGCCGCGCACTTGGCACCAAACCGCGCTTTTGCTTCCGGAAAGCCGCCCGGCAGCCATTCTGCGAACCCGGCATCGATGTCGGCTTGGACCAGACGCATAAGACAGTCTGAATCATCCGTGGCAGAGGCCCAGGGCTCATCACGCACCAACAATTCCAGGCAAGGTCGCTCAGGCCGGTCTACGGGATGCCACACTCCCGAAGCAGGGATCTCCGACAGGATACCTGTAGGCACCCCCTTTTGTAATATGTCTGGCAAGTCGGCATCGCAATCCTGCAGATACCCAAGCAATGCGTCCCAGATGCCAAGCGTAAAAGGCTGGCCTTCCGCAACGCGAGCAGTGCACTGCCAACCTCTGCTTCTCAGAAAGGCCACAACGTCCTGCCGAAGGACATCTACCTCATCGTCACGCAGCAGAGGAAGCGGCTCTGCTTGGGTCACATGGGCCAACAAGCGGGGGACCAGGCCCCACTCCGCAATGCGCTCCAAACACTTCAACGGCTTTCCGTGTACCATCTTCTGTTTTGATCATCGTGCTTCTGTACGGAAAATCCTCCGTACGGTACATGTCCGTGGGATCTTTGAACTTCGACTGCGCCGGGGAGTAGTGCACAACCACGATGCTGTCGGTATCATGCCAACCAGGTTCTTGCTTTCTTGCTGCATCAGCTATGTGAGAATTCAGCTGAATGACGGTGCGAACGTGTTCCTGCTCCAAGTTCACATACCTTTTTCCAGCTTGCAAATATGCATAATCCAAAACCGTCGCAACTCCCACAAGAAGTCGGAACTGCGCGGGGACATCCAATCCGCATCTGACCAAACGCCGCCACCATCCTTCAAACGAAACCGACTACCTGGACAACTACTAGGGACACCAGCATGGTGGCGCTCGCTTTCCGCAGTGTGCTTTCCGTCAGGGTATGACGGCGGTGCGATGCACCTGACTGGAACGCAACGCTGAATCCACTGGCCCAGCCTCATCCAGTGGCCCAGAATGACCCCGTCAATGCTGGCGGGGGCACACCGCTGCATGGTGCGACTTGTCCCCGCACACGGCGCAGTCGTGTTTGAACCGACACATCTTCGAGGAGCACTTTCCATCAACCCAATCCCAGCACTCGCCATTTCGCAAGCGCTTGCCCGGCGCTCGAGGCGCCTCGGACGGGCGACGCTTGCCATTGCCAAGCCCTGGACGGCGGGGAAGAGGCGGCAATGGTGATGGGGGCAGCGGTACCTTTTCCACCTTGCCGGCTTTAGGGCGCTCCACCAAAACATGACGCAACATATCTCTGTCTACCACCACGTGCGCTAAAGCATCGCTCAAGGAATGACCCGAGAAGCACAACTGGAACACCTCCTCCAATACGGAGCGGTCAGCAGCTTCTGCCTCCAGAACAGTGGGGGGGCGAAAGTTCTCCATCGGCTTCTTGGCATACAGGTGCATAAACTTCTTGACGTACACAGTCCAAGAGTGTAAATGACAGGCATCTACCATAGCAAAGGCATGCGCCCTGGTCTCCAAAGTGTGCTGCACCCGCAAGGCAGCCCCAACCAAGTCAAGGTCCCACTCATCCGCTTGGGAGTCGGGAGTGGCGCGGCTGCGCCGTGCCTTGACCTCCAAGAGCTGTTCCTCACTCAAGATGCGCCGCCAAGGCAACCACTCCCAGAGCTTATCCTGTTTCTGCTGATGGATGGCTTGCAGGTAGCATAGGGCCGGCATCGTCTCGGCAGTCACCCCCTCGGAGGTGTAGTCTGCTTCGAGTTTTCGCCGAAGTCTTTCCCGATCGCTGGGAGTCAATCGGGAGGCACTTTGCACTGGCATCAAAGCAAGTGAAGCAGTCGAGGCACCCCCGTCTGGACCCCGTGGCTGAAGTGCTAGCAGAGGAAGCTTTTGGCATTTCTTCCAAAAGACACGCAGTCTGGCTGCAACAGGGTGTGTGGCCCACTCATCGTCATCTAAACGCTCCAACTCGGTATCCCCCGCCTTGCTCCGCAGCTTCACCAGCCAAGACTCAAACGCTGCTTGATCCACAAATGCGCCACAAAACAGCTCCTCGGAGTCGTAACCAAGCTTCACCACCAAATCCGCCATCTTGTCAGACACGCCAGCGTCCACCATCTGCTTCTTCCACACGGTCATAGGGCCGAAGCAAAAGCAAGAAAGATTGCGTAAAGCAGGCAATTCAATGAGACTTGCAAAAGTCAAACGCTGACCCAAATGCCAACACGCCATGAGGACGCAAGCCGCATCGCCATCCAAACCACCATGGGATAAATACCACAGAATCGGTAGATCGTACGAAGACGCAGTCAACGCGAAGCACGAAATAATAGACATCCCACTTGAGGGCACCAAGCAGGCGCCCAAAGCGCGCACCCAGCATCAGCTGGCCACCGCAACGCACCCAAAGTGCGAGCGGCCCCGTCAGTAGCGAACCCAAGACCACCAGCGCCCACTCTGGAGCCAAAGCCAACCCTTCTAGGTTGGACAACTGCGACGGCAGTCCCCAAGAAAAGAGGCCAACTCAGGGCCGTGACACAGACGCGGCCGTCAGCTCACACACACACACACACACACACACACACACACACACACACACACACACACACACACACACACACACACACACACACACACACACACACACACACACACACACACACACACACACACACACACACCACCCACACACACACACACACACACACACACACACACACACACACACACACACACACACACACACACACACACACACACACACACACACACACACACACACACACACACACACACACACCCGAAGCATGCGCTCTGATGGCACGGGCTAAAGCCCTCCATGCCTGGATCCTTTGCGCGGACTTCGTAGCGATCCCCAAGCTCACCGCCCGGTCGACACGCCTTGCCGTACTGCGCTTCCTCAGATGCTGCTGCACGCGTGGAGGGCTCGCGACGCACCGCGCGATGATACCAGCCACTTACTAGGTTCAAAATCCAAGGGCCCGCCTCAAGCAGCACTTCATTCTCGGCATCTGAGGCAGCGGAAAGAGCATCGCTTTGCACACTATCTGTATCCAGTTCATCACAGTCCGCGGCCAGCATGCTCGACGCATCGGAGCCGTCATCTTCATCTTCTGTCTCTGTGTCAGACTCCATCTGACCCGGCTCACACCGCTGCACCAGCAAGGCGCCCGGATCCTTTTCTGGCACGGCCACTATCCCACGGGCCAACGCTGTGCACGGCACCCAGCCTGCACGCACGGCCTTAATCACCGACCGCTGGCAGCGAAGTGCAGGTAGGACATCATCTCTGCGGTACTTTTCCACGCACCCAGAGGAATTGCGCAAGCGATGGTGTCCTTGGGCTGCCCGCTCCTCAACTCCCACTTGCAGCTGCAGGCCCCAGGTCAGCAGTGTAGTTTTCAGGCTGTGGAGCGTGAATTTGCGTGCGTCCTCAACAGTCAAGGATGTATACTTAACAAGACAGCGCCGGAAATGCGCAAGTGCAGTAGAGTAGGGCATTGGCCCTTTCTCATAGCCCAGCAGGAAGTCGCGATCAGGGGACTCCGTGTGAACGTCCAGCAGTGCCTCGCCGAGCTGTTGCGCCCAGTCATTGCCAGTGGCACCCGCCAACTGGCAGCCCCAGGCAAATCCAGTCGAGCAGGTTTACTCCTCCAGCACCACCCCCGTAGGGAGCCACCCGCACGCAGAATCGAAGATAGGTCAATGCGCTGTGCGTCTGAAAAACGTAACCCAGCCCACAGCATGACAAGGAAGCAGCCAACGAGAAACCGATCTACAGCCTCCTCGCCTATCAGTGCAGCCTGCTCGAGTTCACATACGGCAAACAAGGGGAGGGGCAGGGTCTCTGAAGGTGCGCGACGCTGCCATTTCTGCGCAGATAACCAAGATATCACAACTGGCCAGCGGAGAATCCCAGCCAGTGCTTCAAGAAGCAGCTTGTGCGCGATGAAGCGCAGGTGTAAATCACACCGCGCGCCGCTTCCGATCTTCGGGCGCCAGGATCGCTGCTAGCACCCTCGGCCAGCGCCTCCAAGAAATCACGAAGGGCGACCTGCCTGCACGCCAGAAGCTCGGCAGAAAATAAGCCAGCGCCGCCAGCCGCTCAGGTGCTTCAATTCGCTCTTCCGATGTGGATTTTCTTTCGCCCGTGTGGCGACGCAATGCTCACACCAGCCAGCGAATGGCAGGTGCGTCAGGTTGTGTAGCATCACTTCCTGCTCGTTGGGGCGTTCTTCGCGCTTCCTCATCAGCGGCGCGACCTGCGCTTCATACTGCCTGCGCCCGAGGGCTAGGCTGTCTGCCGCTTCGCGCTCCTGAGCTGCGCGAGACAAGCGCTTCAGCATCTGCTCTTTGCTGCCACTGCTTGGTACTTCAAATTCACGACAAAGTTGACGCAAAATCTGCACGCTGCTATTCTTGCTGTGCTCATAGCCATTGTAGGTGAACACAAGGGAATCTCGTTCAACTTCACCTCGAGGGGCTTCTTCCATTTGCACATCTTCTGGGAGGAAACTTTTCTTTTCTTCCTCAAGCTTCTGTCTCTTTGCCTCTTGCTCTTCTGCACTGCTTCTTCGATCTTCACGAACAGGTTCTTTGAAACGAAATCTGGTCTGACCATACCACGGCAAAGCAAATGCTTCTTCAGGAGGTTCTTTGTCTTTGCTCCAATCATCTTCATCTTCATACAAATTCGTGGCATAGACACACTCGCCAATAGTGTATCTCCAGGACGTCAAATTTTCAATGTCCGTGGGCATTCCAGCTACGTTCTCAGGGTTGAACTTGTGGGTGCGCGGCGTGTTGTGGTACCGCACAAGTTCCGTACCAGTCTTCTCAATGCTCCAAGTGTCGCTGGTTCTTGCTTCTTGTTCTTGGCGTTCATCTTTCTTCAAGGGGATGCCCAAGACATTCAGCGGGATAACTCGTGACGACAATGCTGTCACCACTTCAAATTCCCCGCCTGCGCTGACATCCTCAAACGGGTCCATTTTCTGCGCATACTTCTTGCAGTAGCCAGCGAGTTCTTGTGGTAGTGAACAGGGATGTCTGACATACCGTCTGACAACATCAAGCCATCATCCTTCTTGACAATCTCCCAGCCATTCTTGAGTAGCTTTCCGACTGCCAACAAAGGATTGACCACATTCGCAACGATGAAGCATTCTTGCATCTTGACTGCTTCTTGCTTCGAGCTGAACATAGTCAAGTTGATTGCTCTCTTTCCTTTTACAGATCTTTCTTCCTTGTGCGTCTCTAATGCCTGAATCGTTCTTCTTCTTCACAGGCACTCCCTCTTTGCCAAGCCACAGAGGAATGAGGCTGACATCGGCGCCACTGTCCAAAATCACTTCCATCTTCTCATAAACAGAACTGCTCTCATAAAATGATTCCTGGACTGCACGAACACAAAGGTTGCAATCTTCTTCGTGCTCACAACCATCTTTCCACCACAACATCAAAGGATCATCTTCTTCTTGGTGACTCGTGTCCTCTTCTTCTTGCTCTGCATCGCTAAGCTGAAATTCTTCAACACGTAGCACACGACCAAAATAGTCAATCTCAAGTTCCTCTTCTGCTTCTGTGTCGACTTCGAAAACTTCTGGATACTGTTGTGGAGAATCTCCAATGTGGATCATGGAGATTTGACGTACGGTCTTTGCTTGGTTCCTGCTGACGCTCGTCACGTTCGTGGTGCTGGACGTGCTCGGCGCTGCAGTAGAACTGGCTGCTGTGGTACTTTGCTGGTCGTCGTTCACGTTTCGAACATCACCAAAATCTCTCTGCTTCTGTCTGCATTGGGCTTCAAAGTTCAAGGAAAAGCGACCAAAACATGAGCAAATAAACGTTGATATGGATCCACCGCGATATACGGAGATGGACCATAATTGTTACCGGAATTTGCGCGGTGAGCAACTCAAATATTCACGCAAACACCATAGTTATTGGTTATACAATGAACGAGTAAATCAACAGAGTGCGAGTCTCATTGGAAAAGAGTCAAAATACATGTTATTTGCGATGAATACGAGATTGGCAAAGAAGAGGAAGAGGGGCTCCGTTGCTCATCGTTGGGTAAATCTACCTTAATTGTACCCTTCTGTGGTGCCCTAACTTTGCCTGATATTTGCTCTACGTTGGCTACATCAATGATAAATGGCTGGAAACTATCACCGGACTGATATTCATCATCGGTATCGCCCACATTATCATGATCATCTTCATTTTCATCATATTCCTTCATTTCCTGTGCATCCTGCGCTGCATCATCAAATGTACGGTTACAGCTGGATAACCATGACTGATGCTTCGTATAATTGTCTTCAGCGTGCTGGAGGCACGGTCCTCAAACAGGAACGCCAACCCATTCGCATCAAGACCGAGCTGTCATCTCGCACAACTTCAGCCCAAAGACACCGCCAGTTCCTGCCGCTGCGCAGCCTTCCGCTCTGCCACGCTACCCGAGCTGGAGTCATACATGGGGCTGCAGATGCAATCCGCTCGGCTTGCTTGCGGGCTGAGCAACCAACACCGGTTTTCTCCACGTTTGTGCACGGTGACAGCACAGGCAAACTGCCAATGGCACGCGTGATCGGCCGCGATCGATACCACGCTCAGCTGTGCACGACACCGCAATAAGCAACAAAGAAAGCAACAAGGGCACAAACAACCTGAAATCACAGCAAATGACTCAGACACCAGCAGGCCTGCACCAAGCTTGCAGAACTGGAGCAAACACTGCAAGTGCAAGGATGCAGGATGCGCAGATAGCCACGCATGTAAGGCGCTTCAGGGTTTGCCGTGCGCGTCGGCCATTAGCCCCGTCTACTCCGACGCAAACGCCCCGTGACTGCTATGTGTAGATTTGCGAGTTTTGGGGGACGTTTGATTTGTTTGAGTTTTGGTAGGAACTTTTGGTGATTGTGAGTGGCCAAGACGACGCGAGGCTGAGTGAAGCACTAAGGTCCAGGTCGAACCTGAGGTTCGAACTCTTTTCCTTTTAAAATGAACTTCGAACCTGGATTCAACCTGGATTCGAACTAATTCAAGGGTCTGAGTTGTTCTAGGGTTCTCTGGACCTGGGTTTAAACCTGGGTTGAACCCAGGTTTGTTTGAATCCAAGTTAAACTCAGGTTGAACCCGGGTTGTACTGGGTTCAACCCGGGTTGTGGACAGGTTTGAGTTGCGTTAAACCCAAGTTGAACCCAGGTTAAACCCAGGTTGAACCTGGGTTCTGGCTCAAGGTTGTGGCTCAAGGAGTAGCCTGAGGAAAGTTTCGGTCTCAGCCTTCCTAGCCTGGTAGCCAGCCTAGGACAGTTTGCCCAGAGGTGCCTTCCTCTTAGCCATGGCCCCCCGCGAGTACATCTGTTGCAGTGGCAAAAGCTGCACAGGATGGATTTGGGCGGACAAGGCTCAGCCGCATATGCACTGCAAGAAATGCAGAACGCCCTAGGCAAACAGCATTCGACAGGCGAGACAAAACTGGAGCCAGTGGAAGCCACAATGGCCCACAGTGGCTGAGGCAGCTTACTGGCAGCCGCCAAAGAAGCCCAAGCCTTCGAAGACACCACTGCCGAACAAGGTCCTGCAAGCCCTAGGAGTGGCATGGGACAATGTGCCTGAAGAGGTGCAAAAGAACCTCCAGGAGGCAGGGTACAGACCACCCAAGGCACAGGTCAAAGAAGAGGTGGACGACCTCACAGACCTGTGCCAGAAGCATGAAGCCGCCCTGCCGGAGGAGGTCAAAGCCTACCTGAAAGGCCTCAAGGCCAGTCAGGAGGTGACGCCCTCCCAAGCTGCGAGCCAGGCCAGCCAGAGCTGGCAGAGCGCAGCTGGCAAGCTCAAGCACATCGCCGATCAAAAGATTGGCCTGCAGAAGCGCATAGACATGGCGAAGGAGTCATTAAGGCAGCTTCTGCAAGAAATGATTGTGCTGAATGAGCAAGCTGAGAGGGCACAGAAGGCAGTAGAGGCAAGCTCAGGTCTACTCAAAGAGAAAGTCTTCTGCGAATCCGCTGCGGACATGGAGGTTGACAGCATCCTCCATGAGTTGGGGGTAAGCCTCAACGAGGAGCAAGAGAAGAAACTCCATGAGATTAAAGCGGAGCGAGAAGCAAAGAGGCGTCGCACGCAGGAGGGCCCCACCCCTCCCGGCCTTGAAGAGCACACCCAGGAGGGGATGCCTCCTGGCAATGCCAATGCCCCGCCGGCTGCGCCCGGTGGCCTAGGGACTCGGCGTGTGGGGCCTGGAGCCCCAAAGCAAGGGCCCCACAGAGCCAATGTGCGACCCCAGCCCAGGGCTGGAACACATGCTGAGAACTGCCCAGCAGTTCCTGGTTGCGTGTGCTGAATCCTATAAGCAAGGTGCTCACATCAATCTACATGGAAAAAGATTGAGGGAGGCCTTGGGGAAGCAACTTACTGCAGCTAGCAGTGGTTGTGAGCAAGGCTGGCAGAAGCCCAGCCACTTTTGTCGGCCTGGAAAGGAGTCGCCAGAAAGCGTTCCAATCACAGGACCAAAGTTTTTCAAGCTGGACCTTACTGATGATGAGGCACCAGCAGACGACGAACAAATGAAGCCACTGTGGGAGGTGAACCCTGATGGGAACCCT